GAGGATGTCTAGAAGCCCACCCGAGGAACCAATTATGCAGACCCACTACCGAGGCGCTGTCTAAAAAATAGAGAGTCGAAAGGAATCGCGGTTAGATGAAGCAGATCTCGCGGTAAGATGTAAGCTCCAGCACTAAAAGCTGAATGGTAAAGCCAAGATCGAATAGCACGAACTTCGCTTGCAATAACGAAATAAAATTAGTAGATAGAAGAGTATTAGTAAAATTAAGCCAAACTCCTGTCTTCATACTAGGATTGAGCAGTAGTAAATCTCGGTGAATAGTGGCAGTCTAGCTCATTTGAATATCTAATCACCGTAAAGCTAATAATTTGACTATTGAGGTTACGTCTCCCATTTTCGGATGAACTCTTGACTCAAACCAACCCCTCAATAAATTTCAAGCAAATGCATAAGTTCGGACGCATTGAAGACAAAAATTAATCTCAGTAAATAAAATAGAGCGAGAAAGAGGGGACAAAATGGGAAAAGGAACTTGACAAAATGAGAAACGGTTAAATTAACAACCCCCCTCTCCTTCCCCCCAACCTCCCACCCCCACCCCCACCCCACGCAATTGCCAGCAAATACACACACGGGTGTTAGTACGTTTACCACCACCAATATCTGTACAAACCGCACAGAGGAAATCGAGCACATTATCAAATTTAACCTCGTTCGCAAGCGCCAAGATAATATCAAATTTGGAATGACATGGAAGAAGGTCTTGAATGGTCAGTTGAGGGATGGCAAGTAGATTTGGGGTCACGTAATGCCAATGAAAGTCGCCAGGCTTGGGATTTCGATACCCAGGCAGGTCATATTAACTAGACTTTGGTAAATTTCTTAGAACCACATGAGGAAGAAGCGAAGAAGCACTAAAAAGCATCATGCCAGCCGCTTTAAGTCATAGCATCAGTTGTTCCAATGGGATTTAATGTCATCATTTTAGTACCCAAAAGGCGTGTGCAAATGTTGAAGAAAACTAACAGCCGTATTTATATAAACTCTATACCAATTAAGTCGAGCACAGACGAAACCAGAAATAAATGTCGTATTTCGATTGGAAAGATTAGACAGGAATCCGTATTGACAAAGTTAGACCGGTTTTAAATTTCTCACACCATGTCTCCTAAGACTGCATCAAAAGAAAATGACTTACTTTAGAAATTGGCTCTTAAAGAATGAGTGCATGCGTCATAGAATCAGAAAAAACTACCTTACAGAAGCAAAGTCATTTCCTTCCATAACAAACTCAAAATACCTGAAAGATTAAGAGGTATGCTAGTGGATAAATAAACTTCTCTCTCTGCTAATAATTGGATTATTTCACGTAGACCTTTGATTTGATTATTAGGAAGTCTTTGATCGAAAACGGATAAATAAAATGAAAAGTAAATCTGCATAAAGCTTGGAACCCCCTCCCCCACCCCCACCCCATCTTTTCTTATTTGAGAATGGACGCTAGCTAAACAGTAAAACAAGGCCACTACTTAAAATGACCAATGAAACTGAGACGCAAAGATTGATTCGTCTAACATAGAACTCGTGCTTCATGAAATGCCGATAAGAAACTAACTTTGTTGCAGTTGTTTAGCCTCAGGAGTGAGAGTGAATACCATGGGGAAGTGATAGAGGAACATCATTGACTGATTGCCTCGATGTGGCACTGAGAGAAAGATGATACCCTTAGTCTGCTCAGCAATCGAGCCGGGGAGTTCCATGTCAACCCCGCAGTCGGTCAATAGAGCTGCCATATCCATTCGTTGGTACTCAAAGGATGCTCCATCTGCATCCACTCCAATATTGGCGTAGGAGGTATTAGATCGGAGAAGTGATGACGCAGAGGAGACGCCAGAGCGCGTAGTGCCCGATAGAGTCGGAGAAGAATTTGTGGTGCTGTTTGAAGGGGACTCCGAAAACCACGTGGCGGAGAGCTTGATTAACTCCTTGGTCAGAATTCCTAGAAGGCGAAACAGGGAAAAGACAAGGCTTAATTGGAAAAAAACAGCCAATAAATAAGTGATTAAACATTACAATCACATGGAGAATAGCCATTGAGGCGTGTAACTCAATCTTAGGTGAAATTTGAACGCTAAGCAACCTTTCCGCGAAAATTTGCTAGCACTAATTTCCAGATGGCGGAATAGTGTTGCAAAAGTATTATTTATTTATATCAAATGGCAGGCGTCTTGATGGTTATCACTAGCCCTTTGGTTGACTTCAGGCTTCACAGAGGGGAAGGAACATCAAATTGAAGAAAAGTCGAGAGGAGGGGGGACAGAAGAGTGTTTCAAAGATGTAAGAGACAAACACTAAGGTAGATGAAAGGTGAGGTGAGTACTGTGAAAATAGTCGAATAGGACATAGAGTTGGGTCATGATAGTTTGAAGTCAATAGACTTTTTTGCCGTATGAATATACGTTGCCCAGGGTGCACCACGTGGAGGTAAGTCTATTGCAAAAATATCGACTCTAAATTTGGAGAGACAAATGCAGACCAGAGAAAAATTGCTACAGCATGACTCTTTCAAGAGCAGATTCAGTGTATCCGTTTGTGGGAAGAAGAGAGAAACCCATCAGAAAAGCAAAATATAAATATACGGGTTTCACAAAATTTTGGAAAATTTGAAGAAAAAAAACGACGATAACAGTTAAACAAAGAGAGGGAATAAGGTCGTTTCGCAATTCAAATAATTTGCAAGAGCGCTTTTGTGCTAAAACTCTTAATGCAATGGGCTTATGCTTTGAGAAAGTGGAATTAA